TTTCCTTCACCTGCTCCCCCCACCGACCAAACTGTGCAGCTCTGCAACTGCATCCTGGCCCATCCTCACCCTTCTGCCCCCAACCATTACCTCCTTGTACCCCCAATATGTTTTTCCCAATAAAAAAATATTAATAATAAAAAAAACAGCTTCATGATGAGAAGTGTGATGCCCCCATTTCAGAGATGAAAACACTGGGGCTCAGGCTGGCTCAGTCTTAGATTTTGCAGTTAAAACCTTCAGCTTCATTGTGTTTCAAGAGTTAGAGTACTGTATTTCAGGGTGAAACAAAACTGGACTTGAACTCAGTTCTGACTTCATTTTCCATGCCTCTCTCCTCACCAAATCCAAACCACATGGACTATAAAAAATGAAGCCAAAAGGAAAGCTGAGGCATTCCTCCAGATTTGGGAAGTAACATTTACGTGCTATTCTTTATAGACAGGTTCTCCTTCCTGTCTTTAATCCTAGAGCTCTCTGTTTAAGACACATTAATAAGAGATGGCTAGATGGAAAGCTAATCACAAAGGGGGGGGAAATACAGATATTTTTTGATCACACAGGGGAACAGCAGTGAAGACATTACTTAAAACTAAAACCTAAAAAGGAAAATGTCATTTCTCTTGAGAGAAATAGTTTAAACCCTGAAGTAGAGGTAAAGCAGAATTTACCATCTCTTAACTGCAAGTGAAGCAATGATGTCAGTCTAGAGACTAAGGTGTTTCTAAGCCAGGCCATGGTCTTCGCAATTACTTGCTATGCATCAGAGAGCTGGACAATGACTAAGAATTAGAGAGGAACAATCAATGCCTTTGAGTTGTGGTGCTGGAGAAGAGTTTTGAACACACCATGGACCACCAAGAAAATAGGTCTGTCTTGGAGAGGGTGAAAGCAAGTTTCTCTTTAGAGGCTAGGATTTTTTTTAAATTTTTTTTTTTTTTTTAAATTGTGGAGGCTAGGATTTTGAAGCTCCATCTCATATACTTTGGGCATGTGGCTTGGAGGGACTGGTCCTTGGAGAAGGACAACATGCTCAGAAAGGTGGAGGAGGAAGACCCCGGATGAAATGGATTGATACAGTAACTGTGGCAACAGGGGTGGGTGTGTTGGAGATGTGAGACTGACTCAGGACAGGGCAGGCTTCAGAGCTGCTATAAAAAGGGTCACTTAAGAGTTGCAGGCCACTTGATAGCACATAACAACTACAAGCGGGATTAATGAAAAATCGGGAATGTTTTTTCCCACTAAGTATTTTCCTCTGCAGAATAGTATTTGTGATAGAATTACCAAAGGGAGCTCTGGTGGTGTAGTCCATAGGGACTTGAGCTAAACATGCTGACTCTTCAGTGATCTGAATCTACCAGTGGCTCATCAGGGGAAAAGATGGGTAATCTCCTGCATGATTAACAGCCATGGGAGGGTCAGATGTGAGTTGGTTCCTACTTAATAGCAATATGTTTAAAGTTTGAGTGTTTAAGGACAAATAGCACTTAAACTGTGATTACCAACCATAGCCTGAATGTTAGAACCATCTGGTGCATCTTTAAAACTAGCGTTGGAAAGTACCCCTTGGAACAATTAACCATGGACCTAAAGGGCAGCATTTGTCCCAAAATCAAGTTGAGGGCAGAAAATGAATGAATGGCTACAAGGAACCCAGAGAGGAAGTGGGAAGAATGGCAACTCATGTTAGAAAACAGTGTGTATAAACTGCTGAAAATTAAATTTATTTGTAGACTTTCCCCAAAATACAATGAAAAAACAAAAAAATCCTCATGCCCAGGCCCACTTCAGACCCTTCAGATCCCTGGAGGGGCAGCCTGGGCCTTAGTATTTCAAATAGTGCTGTAAGTGAGCCTAATAAGTTTGAAACTCACGAACTAAAACAATGGGGTCCCCCCCCCCAGCTACACAAATGAAGCATCTGAAAAACATAAAACCCAGCTCATGAGCTGAAGTCAACCCCAGATCCCGAGACAATCAGTATGAGAGGAAGCCCTGGTTTCAGTGTTTCCTAAAAGCTCCCTTGGTGATTTAGTGTGCAGGGGCTGAAGCCATGAAAGCAGTCATTCCACACTGGCGTGTGAGGGAAAGGGAAGTTTTTCTGTATCACCCTGTCGAGCGCTCCTGCTTACTCACTGCTGAAGACCAGGCAGGCAAGGCAAAAATATGTTGAGGGGAGAAGAGGGAAGGGCAGGACCCAGGGAATGGTGCAGAAAAACAGAACAAAAGAAATTGCCAGACTTTATAACTTTTATTTCCTTTAATAAAGTGGGCAGGAAACCACAACAGCAGCAGCAGGACAAAACCAGACATAACTTTTTGAAGTTAGTTGTGTCAATAGATTCATGTTTATTTGTAGTTCCCAGTTGGGGTGTTGTTTGGGGGCTTTTTAAAAATAGTTCACATTTGCATACAGGTAATCTACGATCACACTAAGATCCTAAACTTGGTCTAGTTTAGGATCATGGAAAAGGGTCTTTTTACTATGGTTGATTGACTGCCTTTGTGGAGATAGGTGGGTCATTTAAAATAAACTCACCACTCTTCCTCACTTCTCCAATCCCTACCCCTAATTCTTGTATAAATCGGTAAAAAACAAAGTTTCCAAAACAGCTGGGGAAAAAAAAATTTCCAATCTCTTATACTTTCCAAAGGGAATGAAGATCATCCTTGGGAAAAGGCTGCCAAACCCATATTCTTCTCCTTCTAGGGTCAACATCCTATTCTAAATGCACGAAATGCGTGAGACCATTAGTGCAAACTAGCTTTGATGAAGACAAAGAGCGCTACAATAGAAGAAAACAAAGATTTTTAGATCTACATAGAAACTGCAATCTTCTAGTGTATGGAAAGCAGCCAAGACAATCCTAAAATAACACTGTAACTAGTAGCCCTTGGGCACACCCGTGAAAAAAGAGTGCTGTCTCCTTGATGGAGGGGACGGGGTCTAGTCCCTTCTGAGCATCCCATGAGGTGGCACTCTAGGGACATTATCCAGCCCAATTCTGAATCTATACACCATTTGAGTTTATGTCTTTGGGTCACAGTTACTGTTCACTGGAATTGTGATTTTCTTAAATATCTTCATAGACTAATTAAAATGATTCTAGAGGGATTCTTCTGACAAGTTACTCATGTCCCCAGGGAAAATCGCATGCACATTTTTAAAATACTTTTCATCTTCCCACAGAAATTCAGTTGCACTGTTGACTCTTTCCCTAAAGGGCCGAGTAGGGGTTACCTCTTTTGCAGGGTGCAATATAACAAGCTAAGTAAGCAATAAACAGAAAACAAAAGTAAGCAAATGTTTGTTGTTTGGTTTGGAGAGGGGAGGTGGTGTGGAGGTCATTGTTGTGACATGTTGCCTCAAAAATCTATAAATCACACAGGAAGAACAACTGCTTTTCCTGTTTTCATGCCAAAGAGACAGTACTGCAGGGGGAAACGTGACCCATAGTTGTCTATATGATGGTACAAACATCTCCCCCACATTATTCTATGAGCAACAGGTATTCCTTCAAAGAAGCTGGCAGTGGAAGGCTTTTCACTGCATCTGGCAGATACTGGAGTCCCAGGCTACGGCGCACAGCATAGCGTGAGAGTGTTTTTAGAGTTCCTGGGGCTGAGCATAGGACAGTCAGTTTTTCACACAGTTGCTGGTCTCTGGCCACCTCTCGTGGCATGGTGCCATTTTTCCTTAATTCAAAGTGTCCAACGGCTCTGTGGAGGAGCTCAAAGCAAGAGTCCTCTTTCTCGGTTCCAAGTCCCCTGACTAGCAGAGCTACCAGGCGGGAGATGGGTGTCTGGCCTTTTAGATTGATGACCCTGACCTCTGCACCATAATCAAGGAGGATGCTGACGCTCTCAAGATTTCCCTTCATGGCAGCCCAGCTGAGGGGTGTGTCATTATTGTAATCCAGGGCATTGACAGAGGCCCCACTCTCTAGGAGAGCACGCACGCACTCAGCGTTGTTCTTAAAGGCTGCCCAGTGAAGTGGGGTGTCTCTGTTGCCATCCAGTGCATTGGGATTTGCACCATACTCCAATAAGACCTCCACACAAGCCTCATCTTTCTCAGCTGCATAGTGGAGGGCTGTTCGATTGTAACCATCCAGGGCATTCACCTGTAGAGAGGAAGAACTGTTATGGTACACAGACACTGGGAGGAAGACAGGGTGACAAGCAGCTGCCATGCATCCATCTAATATCTTTCTTTTTTTTTTCCATCTAATATCTTTCTATATACTGAACAGGGGTTCCAGAGAATCTTGGTGACCCAGGTAGCAGTATGACAGGAGCTTAGGATCTAATAGGAAAAGAGCTATCCCAAACAACACACTACTCATTACCTGTACTGCTTTCAGCTTTTGCTGCTACTTCATTTCTCCCATTTACTGTTCATTAAAATGTATACTGTCGACTAAAGAGAATGAGAAGATGGCATCTAAGTCCTTGAAACGTCTCTAACTAACTTATTGGAAAGCAGCTTGAATATACTAGCCAAAGTAGAGACTTTTTTTTTTCAAAGCAGAGATTTTGTTTCATTTATCCTGATAATCTATTTTGTGGCAAATGGCAAACAGGCTTTAAAATAGTGAGGCCAAAGCTGTACATGTAGCTTTGATGTGCTCTTCAACCAAATAGAGAAGTACCAACTGTTAAGTCAACTCTTCGCAAGAATATACTGTGAGTTCACTAGAGAATTTGAATGAAAGCATGTGGAGGGAACAGCAAACTTCCAATGCTGGGAAAGAGGCTGACTTGCTGAGTGTTGGCATTAACTGTAATTGTTGTTGGCTGCCATGGGGTCAGTCCTTGACTCATGACTCCATGTACAGTGGAATGAAACCTTGGCACTGCCATCAGTGGACACTGGACCACTGTGCTCATAGTTTTTTATTAGCTGACCTTAGAGAAGTAGATCACCAGGCCTTTCTCCCAAGTCTGTCTTAGTCTGAAAATTCCAATGAAACCTGTTTAGCATCATGGCAACACACAAGCCTCCAGTGCCAGACGGGTGGTGGCTGTGCATGGGGTGCACTGGCCTAGAACTGAACCGCTTCTCTCACATGAAAGGCAAAGATTCTACTGCTGAATCACCTATAATTGTTTTTTTTTAAAAATTATTTTATTTTATTTCATTATTTTTTGTGTGTACCGTCAAATCAGATCTGACTGATACAGGAGGAGATTGTTCCTCCTTCTCCAGCAGAGCATCTGGTGGATTTGAACCGTGTACCTCTGAGATTGCAGTGCAGCTTCTTGCCACTAGACCACCAGAGCTCACATGAATCACCTATAGTTTTGAAGGCTACAGTCAAGGCTTTAAAATTTCCAAATGTATAGTGTATTTTCTATAAAAGAAAATAAAGCAAAATCAAAACACTTGAGTTCAATCGTCTATTTGCCTAAATACTATTGTTTCCCTGGATATCATTGGCATTAATCACTGGCTTTCAATGCAGTGTCATTCACAGACCTTTTAATCACAGAAGTTACAGAACAGAGAATACCACAACCATCTGATATGGCAGCCACATCTCTTACTGACCAGAATGTTTGGGGGGGCCCATGTGTCAGCTTCATATATAACAATTCAAATTAGTGCCTCAGCAAATAAGCCTTCAAGATTATCCATAGGTAAAACTGGTATTTTATTTATTTAGTAAACATTTAGCAATTTCTACAGGTCAGTGTTCCAAACACTTTACAACCTATGAAGAAGATACTGTTATTCCCATTCTACAACTGGTGAGACTGAGCCAAGTTTTAAGTCCTTTAAGGCCAAGCAGTTGGAAGCAGCAGAGTTGGAATTTGAACCCATCAAGTCTGGCTATTATTTTAACCATTCATTATATACTATGCTGATACTTGCTAATGTTCACGGTCTACTGTCAAAAATTAATCCATGTTAATTAACCTTGAGATACAGCAGAAAGAAGACATGAACAAGATATACTAAAAGAGAAAATAATCACTGGGAAAATAATCATAGCACAAGCACTCTAATCCTGAGCAAGGGACTGCCTAATGACATTTATTTACTAGTGACAACAGTGGTAAAAGGAATACACATCTGATAAAACAATTAAAAAATAAAATCTGTTACTGTCAAGTTGATTCCAATTCATGAAGACCTCTTAGATAAAGAACAGAACTGCCCTCCATACTGTTTTCAAGGTTGTGACATTTTGAAGCAGTCAAGCCTTTCTTCCATGGCACCTCTAGGTGGGTTCAAACCACCAATATTTCAGTTAGTAGTTTGGTGCTTAACCAATTTGCATCAGCTAGGAACAGCCAACCAGTTGCCATCATGCCAATTTCAATTCAGAGTATCCCACCTATATCAGAGTAGAACTGTGCTTTATTAGCAGTGGTGACGGCTGCTTTGTTTTGTTTCTTCTTCTGAGCTCATCTGAGTAGACCTGAATGACCAGCCCCTTAGCAGCTGAGCATGTTAAGCATTTATTCCACCCAGGGACTCTTGCACATCTGAGAGCTGGTCTCAAATGGTTTAGATTTAATCAGAGTTGAAGCGCCTCTACACTTACAGCTCCTGGATAGTCAATCAGCTGTGTATGAGAGAACATTTAGTAAACAACCACCAGATGGTGAGCTGAGAGGAAAAAGGGAGAAAACGCCTTTTTGGAGTCGTGGATGCTTAAAGAGAAGAAAGGAAGACAAAGGAATTAACTCCTTAAGATTATTTTAGCTATTTACCATTATGTTTTGTTTAATATTGGTTAGAACAAATATTACCATGAGCTAGAAGGTGAAACCACAAGTGGGAAGAAAAACAAGGAGAGAGTCTAAGAAAATGTGAAGCTCATGTTTTAGTGAATCATTAATATAAGATGTTAAAACGTTACCTCAGCTCCTTTTTCCAAGAGTAACTCCACACAGTCAGCATCGGACACCATACAGGCACAGTGCAGGGGCTTCAGCGTGCCATGGGTACAGTTCACATCTGCTCCCTGGGGCAGAAGGAGACCAGTCAGTGCACTCAACTCCGATTAACTGAGTAGGATGAGAACGAACTCCTGAGAGCAATCCTGATTAGACCATAAACATCCCAATTTCTAATTTTATAATACAACAGATAAGGGCAAAATACCAGTGGCCAAACCCAGGAAATACAAAAAGACACTGAAGAAAAATGAGAATAACTGTCTATTCCTTAGATCATGCTATTTGTCTCTCAGTAAGAAAGCCGGTCATTTGGTCATCGAGACATCACTGAAGACCTAATCATATATGTAAAAGTGGTGGGAACAGGCTATAGATTTAGGAAGCCATATCCCTTGTCTCCTATAGGCATTTTTGTTACATATACATTTTTATAATATATCTTTCTATTATATAATAATATATATAATATATGCATTTTATTATATAATATATATGAATGTATATAATACATTTTTATTATGTGCCGTCAAGTTGCCTGTGACTCATAGCGACCCTATGTACAACAGTCCTAAACCCTGCTCTATCCTGTGCCAATCATATTGACTCTGACAAGACTATCCCCATTACCCCAGTATTTTTATAATATATAATAAAAATATCACTTTTTCCACTTATTAAAAAGACGGGGAACATTATCACTGGGCAGGAAAGCTGGAGAAGCAACCCACTTTGGCCAATATGCTTTGAAAAAGTCAGGAAAGGGAGTCTGTGAGACTGAGGCCAGGCAAATGATGAGGACTTGCTCTTTTTGCCATTCAGCAGAAGACCACTGATAATAGTACAGTCCCCTTACTACTTTCTACTTAACATTTCAGAGAAGCTTCTTAGTATCAACATTCACTGCCACCTAGCTCCAGCTCATGCTTCTATTCCAAATCTGACAAAAGAACTAGAGATGTTACAGTCAAAGTTACCAACTGACTCAGAGGTAGAGCTAGAATTAGAACATGACAATGTTTCTACTGCTGATACTGCAGTCTTCTGATACCACTTTTGTGAGAATGAGCTAATAACCCAGTATGACTTTTCCTTCTCAGAGCTGTGTCATATAACTTCGTAAGAGTTCTAGGCTATGAAGGATCTTAAGGTTTTTAAAAAAGGGTATCAGAAGCAACCATCTGGATGCACATTCTAATGATAAATTACCCTGCAACTTCTCTTCAACAGGAATAGAGAAGCAAACACCCAAGATGCGAGTAATGACAAAATAATTAAATAGCAATGGCTAGATATGAGGGAGTTACGGATTTTCTTAAGTCACTAATTACCATGATTTCTTTTTTTTAAAGAAATTCATATAGTCTAAAAGAAGTGGGAACTTTTGATAAGAGACAGGGCAAGTGAAATCTCTCCATATAATTATGACTCAGATATGCAGAAAGGCTCTCAAAGAACTTGAAAACCAACTTGGCTTTGCTCAACTCTTTCATCTCTTAGTACAACATGTGTAGAAGCCCTTGAGATTTGTAACTGATCAGGATCCCCCAGGACTTTTCCAGCTAAACTTCCCAAAAGACTCTAGTGTCAGTAATAGCACACTCACCCCTCTGATGAGGTCCTCTACATTATCATGTGGGAAGGAACGGATGGCAGCAATTGTTCGGATTAAGCGCTCTGAGAGAGAGTATTTGCTCTGAATGCTCTGCATAATATACCACATACTGGAACTCATCAAGGCTCAGAGGATGTTCACATGCTCCAAAGTGCCTGGAACAAGAAGAGTTAGGGCATACATCACATCACTGAGCACACCTGCCTTTAGTACTGGGGTTATACTTCTCTCCCCTCCCCTGAGCCTCACAAAAAGGGCATGTTTAATAAATACTGGTTGGTTGATCTACTAAAGGGTATGGAAGTTAACTGTTGCCTGTAAAAAGAGATGGAGAATGCCATGGAACAAATGCATCTATGTTACTACTGACAAGGCATCTACAAATATTTCCAAATGTCTTCAGCACAGAAGAAAACAGGAAGCATGTGAAATACTATAAAATAAGGAGGAGGTAAAAGTACAACTGCTCAGGAGTAATGTACCCAAAATTAGAGAAGGAAAAGAATTCCAGGTTTGCACCAATGACATATACTTTCAAGTTTAAGGAAAGCAAATGGAAGAGTGTAAAGTGAACACAGTAACTATTATAAGTGAGAAACAAATTTAGACAAATATATGGAAAACACATGAGACAGAATCTTAGGATGGAAGAAGAATGCAATATACTTAAATTTAACAATAAAAAAAAGTCTCAGCTATAAGAGGTGTTGCTACTTGTCAAAGTTGACAACAGGCACCTAACAACAGCAACATTTGGGAACATTTAATATTACAGCAAATAAAAAGATACATTTCTATGCTCTGTATCAAAAACTGTAGAGAAAACTGAGCATTGTATTGACCCTCTATGTGTAACTATTTAGACTCCTTGAAGATAAAAATAGTATTTCTTTCAAATAGTGTCTGGTACAGAGCAGATCTTCAAGAAATACTTTTTGAACCAATATAAAGCTTATTATTTTGAATCCCCAAAAGACCAATACTTGGAATAATTATTTGCATGATTACTAAGAATAATTATTATCTCATGTTATTCTTGCTTTTTATAATGGAGTATCTGTTTAAACATGAGCTATATGTTAGTTCTAGGAACTTTGATTTGGCTAATCAACAGCCATTTTATGCTTCCATTTTACGCTTAAATATACAGTCAAATTAATAGAATGAAAGTGAAAAATATTCGGTTAATATATATCAGTGACTCAAACTGAATATTTGCCCCTACCTTATTAGTATTATTATTGAGTGCATTTACACACAATATACATGTCTCTGAAAATAGCAAAATATTTTCAATTTGGCATAGGTTTTTATCTCTCCAGCCGTTAGGGCATTTCTCAGAAAAAGGGTCTGTATCTTCAACTTCTTTGTAACAAGGAATTCCAAGAAAGGGAGAATCTAAAACTGCGCTCATTTTCAATGTGCTTTTGCACCTAAGGAACCCCTAAGTCAAAGTATGAGCCGGTCGCGCCTGTTGAAGGGTCAATAAACTCAACCCCTCCAGCAACAGACAACTCCCCAGAGAGCTTTTAAGAGATTGCCATCCTGTCTCCCTTAAAGGGGCAGGTGGATTCGAACCATTTCCTCTAGGCTGTCAGCTCAACGTGTAACCCATTAGGCCACCAGAACCCCCCTGAGGGTAGATCAAGGAAACATACACAACACAGGCGCATCATTTGACACTACTGGGCTCTTCAGTCGGCAGAAACTGACAGCTCTCTCCTCCGATCTCCGAAAGGCTTTTACTGCGACGCTTGAAGCTAAGTGGCAGAGAGGTGTCGTTCAAGCGCTGGGCTAGCAAGGTCTGGGGCCGCCCCTCAAGGAGACCCCCTGCCCTGCCAGGGACGCACTCAGCGCGCCGCACCTGCTGGGCCCTGAGGGCTCGCGGCAGCTCGGTCCCTCCAAAGCGGAACTAAGGGACCTGCCATACATGCAAAGACGTATGCTGTCACTCTCTACATGAGCTCCAAAAAGGCTGCAGCAATCTTAGCGAATCTCTTGGTGTCGAGGTTGAAAGGAGGTCGCGCAGTTTGCGCCCGGGAAGCCCTAGAACCGGACCAGCCCTGGCACGGATGTCTCCCCCAGGCCCAGAACCAAGTCTCTCAGCCCCGCGGCCCGGCAGCCGAGGAGGAAGCGTTACTGGGTGTGGTGTGCCAGGGTGGGGAAGCCGGCTGCACATCTTCCCACACAGGGGGCAGGACTCACCGAAGCGCGAGGCCGAGCGGGGTCGCCAAAGCCGCTGTCAAGGCGTGACCCGGAAGCAGGAGGTGTCTCAGCGGGCCCCCTCTGTTTACAGGACAAGACCGATCTGGACGGGCGCCTGCGCACGGACCTGCGTCTGGGACCAGAGTGCGCCTGCGCAGACTCGCGGAGCACGCTAGGTGCTCCCGCGGTTTACGGTCGATTTTTCCTAGTTCTTAGTGCTCTGGGTTCAGATCCGCATGAGCGTCTCACGGTAGCTAGAAAGCTTTTGTGCGCGCTTGACCAGGCCTGCGATAGTGGGGTCCTCCGTGTCTTCTTCGACCTCTCCACCATGAGAGGTCTCTACCTGAGAACCTGAGAATGGGCCTGGACACCTCTTCTCCAGATGAGGAATACCCTCTTTAGCAGTATTCACTAAGCCAAACCCTTTGCCCAGATGGAGTTGTGTAGGAGACTTCTTAAGAAGGTGTCTTTGGCAACTAAGAGACTTGCAGCACTGATTCACAATGTTGCAACGAATCTATGTTCTTAAGAACCTCTCTTGGATATTTTCCACTCACCTGAGAGTGAACAGTGAAGACTAAAACAGATGTAAGCACTGACAGTAACTAACCAGAATGAGTTTTTCTGGCAGCTCTGAGAGATACACTTTATCTGCAAAGCATAACCATGGCAAAGCTAGCGGCACATCCAGTGAACGTGAAGAGGGAAAGGGCTTACACTGAAGTTTAACCAAGCAGCCTGTTCAATCAAGAGTGCCCGAGCGCTTCCTTTCCTAAACTGGCCATAAAGCAGTTTGAGATTAAAACCAGCCTGGTCATGCCCCATCTTGAGAAATGGGAAGCCTCTGAGTTGCAACCTCAAAGAATATCTTCCTCTCACCTATGGTGAGCTTGACCAGTTTTTCTAAAAGATGACATAAAAAAAAAAAAATAAAAAAAAATACGTGCTCTCCCAAGCTGTAACTGTTAGTAACTTTAAAAAAATTTTTTTATTTAAAAACCAGGCAACCTTCAGTTGTCAAGATGTTTCTCAAATCCTACATAAAGGTCACTTTGGTCAGTGGTGTAATTGGGTTTACTAAACTTTGATCAGTGGCAGCTCCAAGATTTCTACCTGTAAGAGCTCTAACAGGACTCTAGGCACAGCCCTCTGGTTGGACCAGGGAGTCTAGGGGATTGACTTGAAGCTGTGGCTAAATGTTTGCCACAGATTCACACGGGGTCATTGGAAGTGACTTGAATGAGATTCTGTGGATTCTAGAGTCCTTACCCTCAAAGCTATCCTACCTACAGCATTTGGCTGTGTTCAGTGAATAAAAGAGTTTGATCCTATGTCTACCGATTCTAAACCAGCAGTCTATGTCATATCAGAGTCCAAATGAACACTAGACCCCCAGACACTAGTTGCACTCCAGTCAGGGCTGATCCAAATTGTAGGAGTGCATTTTGAAAATCTATTTCCTTCTTGGGTCACCTGAAGTTGTTGTTGTTATGTGTCCTCGAGTCGTTTGCGACTCATAGCAACCCTACGTACAACAGCCCTAAACTCTGCTCTGTCCTGTGCCAATCGCACTGTCTCTGACACTCCCATCCCGATTATCCGAGTCACTGAATCAATCCACCTCACAGAGGGCCTTCCCCTCCTGTGCTGTCCCTCCACTCTCCCAAGCATGATGTCCTTCTCCAAGGACCGGTCTCTCCTCACAACATGTCCAAAGTATGTTAGACGGAGCCTCAGAATCCTTGCCTCCAAGGAGCCACCCGGTTTAACCCTTTCCAGGACAAATCTGTTTGTTTTCCTAGCAGTCCATGGTATTCTCAATACTCTTCTCCAGCACCACAGCTCAAAGGCATCAATTCTCCTTCTATCCTCCTTGGTCATTGTCCAACTCGGATGCATAACAAGTGATTGCGAAGACCATCGCCTGTATCAGATGCACCTTAGTCTCTAGAGAGACACCATTGCTCTTCAGTACTTTGGAGAGGTCCCTAACAGCAGAACTTTCCCATGGCAATGCGCCTTTTAATTTCCTGGCTGCTGGTGCCAAGACTGTTGACTGTGGAGCCAAGCAAACTAAAGCTGTGTACAATCTCAATCTCTTCACCATCCATCCTGATGCTGCCAATTGGTCCAGTGGTGAGAATCTTTGTCTTCTTGACATTGAGCCTCAATCCATATTGTAGGCTGCAGCCCTTGACCCTCTGCAGCAGGTGCTTCAGGTCCTCTTCAGTTTCAGTAAGCAGGGTTGTGTCATCTGCATAATGCAGATTGTTGATAAATCATCCACCAATCTTGACCCCACATTTCTCCTCATAGAGCCCAGCCTCCCGGATAATCTGTTCTGCATATAGGTTGAAAAGGTATGGAGATAGGATGCATCCCTGGTGTACGCCCTACCCAATTTTAAACCATGCAGTGTTCCCTTGCTCTATTCTGACGATTGCCTCTTGGTCCAAGTATAGGCTTCGCATTAGAATGATCAAGTGTTCTGGGATTCCCATTCTTCTCAGAGTCAGCCATAGTTTGTTATGATCGACACAGTCAAATGCCTTTGCATAGTCAATGAAACACAGATAGACATTCCTCTGGGATTCTCTGCTTTCAGATAAGATCCATCTAATAACATCAGCTACAATATCCCTAGTACCACAACCCCTTCTAAACCCAGCCTGGACTTCTGGTAGTTCTCTGTTGATGTGCTGTTCCAGTCATTTTTGGATAATCTTCAGTAAAATCTTTCTTGCATGTGAAATCAGTGAGATTGTTCTGTAGTTTCCACATTCTGTTGGGTCACCTTTCTTTGGGATAGGAACAAATATCGATCTCTTCCAGTCAGTTGGCCAAGTGGTTGTTCTCCAGATTTCTTGGCACACCTTGGTGAGCACGTCCATGGCAGCATCTGTTAACTGAAATATGACAATTGGTATACCATCTATTTATTCCTGGAGACTTATTTTTTGCCATTTCCTTCAAAGCAGCATGAACTTCCTCCTTCATCACCATAGGCTCTTGCTCATGTGTTGTTTCATGAAATTCTTCTGTGTCTTCCTTTCGATACAGTGACTCAGTATATTCTTTCCATCTTGTTTTAATATTTCCTGGATCATTTAACATTCTGCCAAAAGCATCCTTGATTATAGAAACTCGAGGTTTGAATTTGTTCTTCAGTTCCTTGAGCTTAAGAAATGCTGAGCATTCGGCCCTTTTGATTTTCTGACTCCAACTCCTTGCACATTTCATTGTAATATTTTGCTTTGTCATCCCGTGTTGCCTTTTGAAATCTTCTATTCAACTCTTTAGTATCTTGAATTCTTCCTTGTGCTTTGGCTTCTCTGCTCTCCAGTGCAATTTTCAGCGTCTCCTTGCCCAAACCAAAGGCCTTTCTATGGAAACAGCACCATAGAACATACTGGCTGGCCTTTTTTCCCTCTCTGACACCCATCTTTATATACAAGTCACTCATTCATCTTTTACTGAACACATTGTGGCACCATCTGAACATTACAACTGCACCTTCCCTTGCTTTCACTTAAGACATTGGTCTATGATATGTTCAAAGTAACCTTCTCCTAGTTTCTTCTCTTTCTACACTCAGTAGAGCAAGGTCACACAGTCTGCCTTGACCTATGGAGACTCTCAAATATGAAGGAATTAGTTTTAACTTGCTGAATGATCTGTCACAGATGGTAACAGAAATAGTGACGGCTTATTGAAACTGCTCAGTGGTGCCTGACGTGGTACTCATTACAAATCCCTGTTATACCCTGGATATACCTCTGGTTCATAAATAATCCCATTTCAGTCACTATCTTTCAAACCTCCACATCTGTGTTTAAAACCGTGACTGATATCAATGGCTCCGAAGATCCTGGAACCAACCTGTCTGGGGAATTAGGAGGCAAAATGTAGTAATATAGTAAAGTCCATTCCATGAATTGTGTGGTCCAGGATGCTAAATCTCAAGCCTTCAGAGAGACTTTTATGGCAATAGAGATCATGGAACATATTCCCTGTTGTTGTAAAACACAGAGAAGTTCACTGACTCTTGCCTTCTAAATTATGTCAACTTGGCTGTGTAATAAAAATGTTGGCAGTTTGAACCCATTAGCTACTTCATAGAACATGCAGCACAGATTTACAACCGTGGAAACCCTTGGGGGAAGTCCTACTCTGTAGTATGGGGTCACTATGAATCAGAACTGACTCTACAGCAATCAATTTTGGCTTGTGTGACCACAGAAGGACGGGCCCTCTAGTTGACAAAACCAATTAGTTACTTTTAGCTACTAACAGATGAGCTTGCAGCTTAAATCCAGCAAGAGGCATCTTGGAAGAAAGGACTGGTGATCTGCTTCAGAAAGACACAACCATGGTTACCCTCTAGAGCACAGCTCCTCTCTGATACACATGAGGCATAAGTCAGATTTGACTCAATGACTACTTTTTTAAGGGCCACAAAAGGTTTCCTGAATGCACTTGGCTACTATCATGGATTGAATTTTTTGGTGCCATCAAGTCCACTATGACTCAAGGTAACTCTATGAACAATAGATATGAACCCTGCCCTACCCTGCACCATCCTCATGATCTCTGATATACTCAGGCTCGTTGTTACAGTCACTGTGTCTGTCCACCCGGTTGGAGAGCTTCCTGTCTTTCTTTGACCCTCCACCTTTCCTAGCATGGTGCTCTTTGCCAAGGATGAGCTCCTCCTGACAACAGGCCTGAAGTATGTGTGATAAAGTTTCACCATTCATATTCTTCCAAGACAGACTTGTTAGTTCTTTTGGCAGTCCATAGGATAGTCAGTATTCTTCTCCAATGCCAAAACACAAAGGTATTGATTTTTCTTCACTCTTTATTCATCAAACATAGGAAATAATGGAAAAGATCATGGCTTGGATCAGGTGCACCTTAGTCTCTAAACTGACTTTGTTGCTCTTTAGCACTTTGAAGAGGTCCTTGAGCAGAATTCCTCAGTGCAGCATGTCTTTTGATTTCTTGACTGCTAGTACCATAAGTGTTGACTGTGCATTCAAGTAAAAGGAAATAACTGACAAATTCAATCTCCCTTCTATCATGAAGTTGCCTATCGGTCCAGTGGTGAAGATTTTTGCTTTCCT